CCACATAGAGAGGAAAGATGCCTTGCAAAGCTCCCTGTAAGAAAGGAACCCCCTCTTTCCATATGAGTAACACTGGAGTTACTTTTTTTAAGAAGAGCAGCAAACTCAAGCTTCTCCAATGGCAATAAATATTTGTTTGCCTAGATTTTATGTGCTTTGACTCCTAACTTGAAACCTTGTGACTATGACTCTGGACCTGATGACCTTTCTTAGACATTTGTCACTTGGATTTCACTTGACCCCTCTTGTGCCTGACTTTGGAATTGAAAGTCTCTCAAGGCAAACTTGCTGAGCTTTGGGCAACTTGATTTTTCTGGTATGTGTGCATATGCATTTGCATTCACACTTCCTTTGTTACTTATTCATTATTCATTTGCTTCATAAACTTCCTAATAAAGTTTGCAATCATGTTTCTGTATGTTCGTCAGTGCATGGCCTGAGACGTGACAGATAATAACTAGCATTGTGAATTACACCTGGAAGCAAACCACAACCAGTGCAGCTCACAAAACTGAGGGCTTACACAGGAACACTGAGACATGGCCATTACTATCTTCTGTACCATTTGAAATTTCCAGGTGGTCTTCACTGCAGCATGTCCAGGGCGATATGATCATAATCTAGGTGCTCAAGTGCATAGGTCATGATTATGACAATGCAGGGAGCCACAGCCACCATTTTTGATTTTCCCTTTCAGCTTCCCACAAGCAAAGTCAGTGGGGATGCCAGCTTTCGTGAAGAGCCGTGGTGCCACAGTGGTTAGAATGGATTCTTGCAGGCTGACTGCCCACTGTCAGGAGTTCAAGGTTGACTCAGCCTTCCATCCTTCTGAAGTTGGTAAAAAGAGGACCCAGATTGTTGGGAGCAATATATTGACTCTGTAAACTGCTTAGAGAGAGCAGTAAAGCACTGTGAAACAGTAATTAAGCCTAAGTGCTATTGCTGACTTCGGCAAAGGGAGAAAATGCCCATGGGACCATGTTCATATGCCATACCTATCCAGGCAAAAGGTGGGCACAGTGCAGGCACTTGGGGCTGGGGCTTGCAGAGGTGCTGGATGGGAGAACACACACTGTGGAGGGAGTTTGATTAAAATGCAGTGAGTAGTGGTAAATAATGGGAGGCATGAAGAGACTGTGGATAAAGATTGTTAGAGGAGATTGATTGGACTTGTGAAGCGTCAGGAAGCTTGTCTGGAGAGATGGTAGTCAACGGGTGCAGGTGCAGGGAGACAGCAGAAGAGGAGTTCAGAAACAGGAGAAAGAGTACATGGTAGCTTAACAGAGGTTGAGATGTAACCACAAACTCATAATATCTTGAAAATTACTGAGGGAAGAGCCAGAGATCTGATTAGGGATTAAGATAAGATCTTAATTGTTTGGAAAATGCTAGAGCTATGCAGCATTTGGATTTGAAATGGTAAAGCTGGTTTGGAGGGCATCATGTCATCCTGGCCAAACAAACATTTTGTTTAAAAAATTGCAAATGGGCTAAATGAACATTCATTCATACCCTCTCTGAAGCAGTTTTCCTTTGAATCCAAAATGCTGTACAGCCCTAAAATACCTTGTAAAATTTCCATGCCAAGTTAAACAAGTCTTTCTTCATAAAGACTGCATATTACCTCCGTCCTGAGGAAACAACTATTTGCTTTACCTACTTGATGACAGACAACTTTCCTGTACCTTTCCTGAAAATGACTTGAAGTAGAAATAGACAACAAACAGATTGGATGGCCATTTTGTGTTAAATATTTTCCTGTTTTGGTTAAAAGTGAGTACATTGTATCACAATTGGAGGTCTCTTTCAAGCAACCATAGCAGAATTGCATTTTTTTGGGGCAATCAAGGCAAATGCCTTGATTATGTGCCAACAAGTCATTTTCAGCTTAGTGTCTAGATAGATAAACCTTCTCCATGACAATCTATACCCAGCCTGTTCTTTCAAGTCTCTCAGCAGTGCATTCATCACCATCATAACTGAGTCACCCCTCCAGCTACTGATCTTCTTTTTTCTCCCACCTTTCCCAGCATTACAGTCTTTTCTAGACAGCTGGGTCTTTGCATCATGTGTTTGAGGTGGAATATTTGAGCCTGGTTATTTGTGTCTTAAGTGAGAATTCTGAGTTGACTTGCTCAATGGTACATTCATTTGCTTTCTTGAGTGTCTTATGTTATTCTAGGAGTCTTCTCCAAACACCAGAGGTCAAAGAAGTCAATACTGTAACTATCTTTAATGCCTCCCACTTAGCAATAGCAAGTGATTGTGTACTATTGCAACAGCAGTTATTTTTCTCTTTTTTGCTCTATTTGAAACAAATTTTCCTTTCCCATTTTTTCTCTTGCCTTCCTCTTTCCCTCTTTCCTCGTCTTTCTCTTTCCCCTCCTTTTTCATTCCTATCCTCTTTCCCTCCTCTCTTGCTTCAGTTATTCTACTTATTTCCAGAACATTGGAATAATGTGAGAAATGGATTGTCAACATCCTTCACGAACTTCATTTATTTATATTAGGATGACGCATGCACAATTACTTGGGAGTTAGTCCATGTCAAAATCAGCAGAATTTACTTCTGAGGATTGTTGCATTCCATATCACAACTGGAATTCCTGAATGCAGGTTTGAGACTTAATAGAAAATGTTCAGTGCAAAGACAATATGGGTGTTCTCACTGAAGAAAACCAGTTACCAGATATCTGAATAGACAAAGGAGGATATGAACAATTGGAAAGTAGGGCAATTGGGAAGAAAAGGAGAACATATTGTTTAATTTTCTGGCACTTGCAACAAACATTACAATGAAAAACTGAGGGGAAAATTCTATTTAGATCTACATGCATATGAAATTACTTTCTCCAATATCAACCAGAAAGACTGGTTTTTCAACTGCAGTATTTTTCCAGCATACCTTTATTTATTTATCTATAGACTGCAGTGATCATAGGCGGGCATTTGGTGTGGTGGTTAAGGCATTGGGCTAGAAACAAGGAGCCTCTGAAAACTAATTCCAAGGCACAAAGCAGCCAACTGAGGGACCTGGGTCAGTCTTTCTTTCTCAGTCTCTTCTGAAAAACTTTGCCAAGAAAACTGCGGGACTTGTCCGGGTAGTTGCCAGGAATCAACACTGATCTGAAGGCATGTGTGTGCTTGCTCACACATAAACACACAAACACAGAGTTATCATAGATTTAAAGCATCTGAATTGAAGACAATTGCTGGAATTAGGAAATAACTAAAATCTAGACATAAGTCTGACAACAAACTAGGTAAAAAAAGCAGACAATTTACAAGGTCACATGAACGTTTGTATGACTACTATGGTGATAATACAAAAGATACAGTAAAAAGATACTAAAAAAGCCAGATAATATTTAATTTTAGGCCACATCTGCCAGACACAGGAGGACAAAAAAGAGAACAACCCTCACTCCCTATTTCCAGCCCTTATTCTTCCTAGATTACAGAACTTCCAACCTCTTTAATAACTGAACAGTCTTATTCTATTCTTTATTTTCCTGCAAATAACATGCTTTCCCTGTTTAAGCACCCAGACACATGATGTTTATTTTAACTTTGATTAAAACTTCAGTGTTTATAAAAACTTATTGTGCATTCTTTGTCTCCTTATAGAAAAGTGTGTTCATATGATTAGATAATCCTTGATCAGTCATGGGCAGATTCCCAAACAGGTGCTTAATCTTAGAAGGTGGACAAAACTTTCTCCCTCCCAAAATGATCATAATACATTTGATTATACTGCCAAGACAACCCAAATTGAGGTGGCAAATCACTATCCCAATAAGTGTTATTCTGATATGGCAAGGTGAATAACAAAGGATTCATAATGACAAGGTATTCTGAAATACAATAGTTTTAAGTCCCAAAGATATTTAAAAAAATAATCTTCAGGTTTTGTTGTTGCTGGTTCTTTTCTAGAACTGTATACCTTTAATTGTAAGGTTTAATATACCTAGATCAACAAATAAAAAGTAGGTGAATATGGACAACATGTTGACCAAACTAGCTGATCACTATTCATCCTCATCCTTCTTGCTCTCTCAATGGCTTTTGATACCATTCAATCATTATAATTTTCTGCATCAATTTTCAAAGTTTGGAATGAGGGAAGGCATAGATTTGCACTGGTTTTCCTCCTTTCTCAGGTGATTTCCAATCAACATTAGTAGGAGAGAAGACATTTCTAGATTTTCATTGCTTCTATTTAATTTCTAAATGAAGTCACTGGGTAAGCTCATCCATTCACATGAAGTAAAGTATTATCACTTGCTGATGATATCTCAGCTATAATTCCAGTCCCTGGCTGAATAAGTGATGTCATTAAGGTCTTCCCAAGAATCTGGAGTCTATGGGGATCTAAATCAAGAGTGTCAAACTGCTGGCCCCCTGGCTGGTTGCATCATATGGAAGCCACGCCCACCCCAGCTCCAGCAATGTAAAAAAAGTCAAGATATGTCGCAACAGTTCATATGACATGGCGAGTGTGAACTCATGATCTAAATGGAGTAGAACAGGCTTCAGCTCAACTCTAACAAAACCATTGTTAAGCAACCCTAGCTTTATTTCTCAGAAATAAAGCTAAGAAAGCATGCTGCACAAATGTTTCCTGCTCTACTTGATCCATAGCTGCTATTTCTAAGAATAGATCTAGGGTGTGATTTTTATAATATCTGTAGGGATAGAAAAACCTCAAACTATGTAACATTGTTTTGAAACCGTATTTATTCACCTACAATAGCTAAAGTGATATAAAAATGTTCACGTTACTCATAATATATAACTTTTGAAATAATTTTAATTCAGAAAATACTATGTAATCTTTGAAAAGGTTAAATTTGTATTGATAACAAAATGTTTTCCAATACCTATTTATTTTGCTTATTTCATTCTGAAACTTGGTAAGAGATTAAAGTGAACAATTAAAGGAAAATAAGTGAAATCACTGAGAAAGAAATTATGAAATCTATTTAAAGGATGGTGTATTCATAAAATCATTGTTTTCTGTATATTTTCTTTAGATTAATCTGGATTTAGTCTTGAAATGTTGCTTATTTTTCACTTTGAAAACTGGAAAATTAAGAAATGTATCTTTTGTAGCATCCTCTCCTTTCCTCAGTTTGCTATAAAACAAAATGATTAAATCACTATTGGGTATAAAATTGAATATTCATACAGTATAGCTGAGATTAATAAATGCTACAATTAATAGAATATCTATCATTAGATGATTTGCATTTAATTCTTGACACTGTAGGCCTAGAGTTACCAGACATCTGGCAAAAAGAGACATGTCCTCCTTTTTGTCCTCATGTCCTCTGTCTGGCAAGCATAGACTAAAAATAATATATTGTCCATCTTTTTCAGTATTTAACAAGCTTTCTCTTCCTAGGCAGCTTTTTTTTTCATAGCACTGCACTTATCTAATACAGATAGTCCTCAACTTGCAACCATTATGGAGCCTATTATAGTCATAAATCATGACAGTTGTAAAGTGGGTCATCACATGATCAGACCCGATTTTACTACTTTTTTTGTGTTGCTTATTAAATGAACATGGTGATTGTAAAGTGAATACAGTGGTTGTTAAGCAAGCCCATTGTTCGCTATGGAGCAATGTTTTTGAAAACCTGAAGTAAACACTGGTTTTTGGCAAAAACATTGTAAATCATAATCACTAGACTAGACTGAGGGATGCCGCAAATGGCAGGAATGCAGGCTGGTTCCCAAATGCCCAAAATATAATCAGGCAACTGGGGGGGGGGGCGCTGGCATCAGAATTTTGGAACTGGGACCTTTTAAGGCGAGCTGTCATAACTTTGGTTGCTAAGCAACTGATCGTAAGTCAAATTCTACCTCTAAGAGCTAACTGCAAGTTAGTTATTCTGTGATCTTAATTAATTAATTAGTTTTCTCTAGATTGCTTGCTGTGCTGTCTGAAATTGATAAGACCTTATTCAGCTACATGTTGGTGGCTTTTTCTCCTAACCATTCTACCACATTCCTGCTATTGAAAAACCAGGCTTTCTGATATTAGGAAAGTAGGTTTATATGCATGTGGGCCTAACTTTTTTTTTTTGACAATTTTTCACTGTAATATTATTTACAGATGCCAAGAAAGCTAAATAATGTGTCCTCCTTTTCCCTCCATTTGCCTTCCTTTCCAATTGTCTGTCTTCCTTTACCTGATCTGATATCTGGTAACACTCCTGTGACTAAAGACTAGCAGTGCTCTTAATGTTATCAAATGAGTCCTTCTGAAATTTTCTATGATAACAAAAAGGTCAAAGGTTTAAGAAGATAAACATTTTACAAGTTAGGATGCTGGATCTGGATAAGAGAGGATCTTGATTCAAGTCCTCAGAGGACAAGAAGCACACTGAGAAAGTTTGGGCAAGTCATTCTCTTCGCCCAGGGGTGTCAAACTCGCAACGTTATGTGACGTGTTGCAATGTATCTTGACTTTTTTTCCATTGCCAGCAATGGGGTGGGCGCAGTTTTGCCATGACTCATCTAGCCCAAATAACTCACTTGGCAATCACACAGATTGTTTTTTCTCTGCCTCTTTGGCTGCACCCTCACAGAACATTGTTATGTGCACCATTACTCAAACAGTAAGATAATGTGTATTCAGGAGGATTAGAAAGGGACAGGTAGGGAGAAATCTCACTAATTTTACCTTCTAATAAATGGGGGATTTAAAATCTTTCAAAAGTCTAAAAAATTGAGAGGTCTGAAATGTTCAGCCAACCCATCTAGCTATGAGTTCAGGTATCAAATCAGTAGCCAAGAGGAAGTGCAGTCTCTAGACTGAAAAAAAAATGCATATTTCTAGCATAAAAAGGTAATGCAGCACATGAAGTAATTGTAACAGCTGCACTGAGGTAAGCCAATCAGTGATATTTTTTTTCAGAAAATGTTGACTGAACATGTTTAACCTCTTGCTACTATATCTATTGCTCATGCCTGAAACGCCTTGGAAATTTTAACCAGTGAACCTCCTTTATTTATTTTGTTAGAATTATACAGATCTATAATGAGAATTCTGCTCAATGTGAGAATAAAAATAAAAGGATGGGAAGAAGTACAAGGAAAGATATCTGCATAGAAAAGATTATCCAGTTCCAAAAAAGATAAGCCCAACCTCCTTCAAATTTGGGTGAAGAGGAAAATTAAAAGCTGAAATAAATAAAACTTTCATTTTATGGACTTTAAAAGGGTTGGTGTACTAAATATGCAATTCATCATAAATATCTACTCAATAGTAATTGTAGAAACCAAATTGTTGATTAAAAAACCACTCTAACTTTAATATATCTGCAATTATCAGAAATCAGATTTAACAAATGAAGAATTTTACTTTTCCAAAAACAGAAGAGCTTAGGGAAGAAAATATATTCTAACCTTTGGATACTGGGCTCTTTGTAGCAAACTGTTGCTCGCCTGCGTCTAACAGATTGTACAGAATGTTCTTCTATATCTTTCTTGGATTTGGGATTTGAATTTATACCAATATTTGTCAATTCCTGAAGAGGCTTGTTCCCTAGGAATTCAATTAACATTTAAGTCACTAATTAGAAATATTTTTGGATTTTTAAAAAATCACTTGTTTTATTCAAAAATACGTGTTATCTTAACATAGGAGTTGTTTGATAGTGAAATGGACTACATAAAATTTATAAATAAATGAAATAAATCAGTTCTGCATGCATATGTATGTTTGGATTACACAGGTCTTTAAAGCATCTTTGATATGGGTTTAGAATATTACTATTCATAAATTTATCTCTCTACTCTGGCCAAATTCATTGGAGAAAAAATGTTGCCCACTGTGTTATAGAACACAAGAAGACCTAAAATTATCTTTCTTAGGTTTTCATTAGATCAAACAAGGACCTTATAATCAACTAATTTATATCACTTCATGTCCATGACTAGATCAAACAAAGTTTTGTGATTATTTTGAAACATTTAAGGATTTATTGTGCATATGCTTTCATGAGGACTAGCTCCTGTATATTATTTTCATTTGTCAGATACACTGATTATAGAATAATAAATTGACACCTAAGATAAAGGCCCTGGAATACAAGCAAGAGTTGCAATGTCTGACATGTAAGGGGTGGCATTGTATAGCGTTGGTAGTGAATGTCCCTCACATGTGTGCAGAGATCCCTCTTACCATCAAGAAACCCAAAACAACAATGTTAGCGATAAGGGAACCCCTATACCTAACTCCATGCTTCTAGGTATTATACTGAACATGTATCTACCACCTGAAGCAAAAATCTGCAACAACTGTGCTTGTCCTATTTTCTTTGATGGGCATTTTTGATGGAGTCTATTGTATCAGGCATTCTTAGAATTGTAATGCCATTAAGAAAATGAAAGTATAAATAAGTAAATAAGATGCTAACATTCCTTTTTTGTATAACAAAAACTTAGTTTTATGAAGGTTTTTTTAGTTTTCAACCAGAGTAAGTCTTTAACTGCATCTCAATGAAGATTACACATACCAGAATCTTGCACTGGCTTTCTGTTGCACGATTCTTCATAAGTTATGTCTGCTTTCTTTGTAAAAACACTATCATTTTCTTCCTGATAATACCTTTCAGATTTATTTATAGCAGGGATATTCTCCTTTTTATTTTGATCATGTCTACATGATGTGGAACCTTGTTTTTCATTTATTGCTTCTATAGAAATTTCAGCATCTTTTAGGGAACATGAAGTTACTCTCTGAACACTGAAAGTTTTTCCTTCCTCTTTAGATGCCTTATGAGGAATATTTTCATCATATAATTTTTCACTGTTTAATTTCTGTTTCACATACATTTTTCTCTCATTAAGAGAGTCTGGATATATAATATATGTCTTCCGGCTAGCTTTTGCAAAAATTCTTCTTTTGTCATTTTGCAAAATCTTTGAAACATGTAAAGCATCTGTAGATCCTTCTGCTGTTATATTGTATTTGCAAGTAACTTCTTTGCTGCTGCATCCACTTTTTACATTGGTTCTTTGATAATGTTTTGTTTGGCAATCGTACCTGCATTCCTTTGATCCAAATCTTTCCAAATTTCTTAAATGCTGCATATTTTCCATTTCATAATAGTTTGATTTGTTGATTTTGGAAGTATCAGGATAACTCTCATTTATGGTTAAATTTTCTTGTTTATCCATTATGGGGCTTGCCATTGATAGCAAATTTCCAATATTACTATCTTGTAATAATGAATCCGAATTTTCTCCTGCATTCTGCCTAATTACTCCCTCTACGGTTTCAGAAATTGTTTTTTCCTCTTTTTCTGACTGTAAAATATTAGTAGTTTGCAGTTGACAGTTGATATCTATTAAATGCAGGTGCTTGTAATTTTTGTTACTGTCTTTATTATTTTCCTCAACATCTTGTTCATTGGTATTTTCCCGTTCCATTTCCCAGGATGTTATCTTTTTAAACAATTCTACTTTGAGTGGTAATTTTTTCTTTGATTTAATGGTGTGGATGGGTTTTGGAACATTTTCATTACTTTTTGGGGGGTTTATTGCTATATTTTTTTTAATGTGCTTTTTTGTACTTGCAAATGTTACTTTTCTTAGATTTTCTGAAATTTTGTCAGCTTTAACCTTATTAAATTTCTTATCTCTAGATTTAATTATAACTATTTCACCCAATTCACTCGCAGTTAATTCCATATCGGTATCATATATAGTTTCCTCTGATTTTTGACTTTTTATTAAATCTTCTTTGTTCATGTGAACAAGCTTACTACTAGGTTGGGAAGTCAATTTAATATGTGAAACACCATTTGGGTCTCTCTGATTACCAATATCAATATTGCAATTGCTGGCTGTGCAAAAATGTAGTATACAGTTACTATCTTTTTTTGTACCAAAATTGTTTACAAGAGGGTGAATACTTGAAATGCACATTTCTTTCTTTCTTTCACTTATATATCGATGCATTGGAAAAGGATTATTATGTCCTTTTAACTGACTTTCATATTCATTTGCAGATGATGCATAATCTAGAGAAGTTTTAAAGATATTAGATAGCTTTTCTGAAAAGCAAAATTAAGAAAATTATTTAAAATGTACAAGTTTTATTTTAATATGTATAACATTGGTTTTATATTGCTATTAAACAAATGAAATCTTTTTTCAATACTAATCACAATGCAATATTTGACTGGCTTGTAGATCTTTGCAGAAGTATTCATTAAGACTATGTATACTTTAAAAATGACTATGAAGAAGTGCTCTGGATATTGTGCTGGCACATTATCGCTCTGGTATTCATTTTTCTTGTTCAGTTATTTTTAATGAAAAAGTATTTTTTTCATTAAAAAAACCTCAAGCAATTTGAAACAAGAATTTGCAGTTAATTTAAACATTGCATTAACTTAAACGAGTCAATTCCTAACATTTTTTCCAATGATTTTTCTGTCTAAAAAATTTTAATACATTTGTTAAAAATGCCAATGAAATGAATCATATTATCAAGGCTTCTCTGAAGATTACATTTAAATTAGTATTCTCTTATATAATTTCCTTTTCACCAATTATCAATTGTTTTCCTTATGTAATGATTTTTATTTCCTTTCCCTTTAACATTTCTGTTTTTTGGCTTCTGAATTAGCTAGCTGACAAAATAAATTTCAAATGTTGAATTATTCTATAGCAGTGGTGGCAAACCTATGGCACAGGTGCCAGAGGCTGCACTCAGAGTCCTCTCTGTGGGCACACGCGCCGTCGCCCTAGTCCTAGGCCTTCAGGTTATAAAACCTTTTCGCTTTAGGCCTCCACTGCCATGTACACACACACAAAAAAGGTTCTATCAATCAGTCAATTTCAACTTCTCATGGGAAAAAAAGTTCTTGCAAAGTTGGAATTGATTGATTGAACTTTTTAGTCCCACCCAGTCTGCCGTTACCACCGCAGCCACGCCCATCCAATGGGCCACACCCACCCAATGGGCCATGCCCACCTTATGCCCACGATGCATAAGTGGGTTTTGGGTTTCAGTTTGGGCACTCAGTCTTTAAAGTTTCGCCATCACTGTTCTATAGCATTATTATCTTTCATTATTGTCTTTGTTCTGAGTTCTTGAGATGAAGTTTGCTTTCTCCCCAAACATTGGAGCATTGAGAATTTTAATTCTGTTTATCAATTGTGCAGTCTCTCTCAGAAAATCACATTTGAGTTGTGTGATGATAATTTGGGACGAATTAGTATCTCTCTCTATATATTAATTATATTCTTCTCCACTATATAAAAATTAATATAGTATACCTTCTGGAAATGTATTTGTGGCAAATTCTGTTTCCATTTTATTTAATTCACTTGGTTTTGGCATTTGCTTAGGGTCTAATATCTGTATGTTCATTTGATCTGCTGTAATTTCTTTTGAGAGTACAGATATCTGCTCAAAAGGACCATCTGTGTCACATACAAACAAGTTCTCTTTTTTCCCATCACTTTCTACAATATGAGGAGTGATCAAATATTGTTCAGTAGGTCTGAAAGAAAAAAGAAAAGGAGAGAATTATTGAGAGTGAATAATATTCATATAAACATTTTAAAAACAAAATGAATTTTGATTATATGATAAACTGTGTTTACACCTCTAAAAAGGAACAAAACAAAGGCTCATAATTTAAATAGCACTGAAAGATGATTTGAGCCAGAGTAAAAAGTATTCCATTAACAGTATATCATATTATGGAAACATGCCCACATACAAGGCAGAGAAAATACTAACTAGACTTTAATATTTCATTTAAAATCAATTGGATATGCTATATAGTCACAAAAACCAACAATATAAATTGTAGCTTGTGCTAGCAAAATAAAAACAAATGATAATTTCATAAATTTTCTGATGTGAAGATAACTTATATATTGGTTATGCATATTTTGGATTTGAGAGTGCAGATATTTTTTCTGAGTAAAAATAATCTCTGAAACTGTTTCCGAAGTAGCTCTTCACAGTTGGTTGAATTGGCAGATTTTCCTCTTTTCATTTTTATCTAATATTTAAACTCAAACATTACCTTATTTGATTTTTTGAAAGCTTGGATTCATGACCAGAATTGCTGCACTGAGCATCATCCATTGTTACAGGTTTTGGAATACACTATTTGAAGGAAAAATATGTTAGCATACTCCTGATATTCCAAGATTTTCATGGCTTGGAATTCTGAAACTTGTGGCTGCTCTTGCAAAGTAGAACATCTGCTCCTCATATCTGCTCCCTATTACTCCAACTTATCTTTTGCCATTTTTATGGTTAAGTGGGGACACAAAACTGCAGTTACCCCTTCATTCTCTAAGAAAATAGCATTTCGATCAAAGAACCATGGACAAACAGATGGCTGCCATTTTTCTTCATTTGGAATTGGCTTTTAATTTTTTTAAACTAAAATGTTTTAATTTTTAACATGAAAAGTCAAAAAATGCAAGAAGCCCTGCAGCCTGTGAGCATATTTATACTTATAGTGTTTAGATTGTGAGGATTTTCTGCAAGGCAATATTAATCAGTAACTTACACTTAGTAATTTTGTAATGTACATTAGAAATCATTATGAAATATAGATTAAATGTGGAACACTGGTCATTTTAGAATATTATTTACACTAGACTAGGTGTGATTCAATGTTTTTAACTTTTTGAAAATTTATGCAGTTTGTTCTGGGCCTACTCAGCCTCCATCCTTCCAAGATCACTAAAATGAGGCCCCAGATTGTTAGGGGTAACATGCTGACTCTAAACCCCTTAGAAAGGGCTGTAAAGTACTATGGAGTGGTATACAAATCTAAGTGCTATTGCTATAAGATTCAAATGTTTGCAGCTATTTGCTAGGACAACGGTGCCCAACCTTTTGGGCACCAGGAATTGGTTCTGTAGAGAGAGGTTTTTCTGCAGGCCGGAGGGGATGTGGTTTCGTATGTTGCCTACATCCCGCAGATGGGGTTTCACTTGTTTGCCCAGCCCAGTTTCTGGTATGATGTGGACCAGTGTTGGTCCATGGAAGAGAGGTTGGGGACTCCTGCTCTAGTCTGTTTCATAAGGCTGTTCTGCTGTATAGGGCAGCAGTCCCCAACCTTTGTGGCTTGGGGGCCTGGCTGGGGGGGAAGAGGGGGACTGGGCCACACAAGGGGCAGGCCAGCGCACATGTGCAGCTTGACTCATGTAAGCGGCAGCCTGGTGCAGGCCCACTATTTGCATGAGTAGAGCTGTGCACGCTTGTGTGCGCCGGCCCCCCGCTCATGTGAGTTGAGCTGCATGCACGTGTGCGCCAGTCCGCAGTCTGGTTGCAAATAGGCCACAGTCTGGTAGTGGGCTGCGGCTTAGGGATTGGGGCCCTGGCTAGGAAATATAAAGCACACAACATACTCATATATACAGTGCTTATCTATAAAAATGCTTATTTTACTAGATCCCAGATCAAAATAAAGGTCAACAGAAACTTACAACAGAAACTTCATTTTGAAATATTAAAATATTTAATTTATATTATTTTATCAATAATTTTATATTAAATTAATAGGAGTAAAATATATTAAAACAAACTATTTTGCACTACTGCATAACCCCCCCCCCCCGAAATAAGAATGGCACCATCTCTCCCAGAGTTCTGGAAAGCTTTGAAAACCTGGCTTCAATCCCAGGCCTGGGGTTGATTTTTGTTTTAATGGCCCTTGTTTTATTATGTGGATTTTACTACTAGAGCATATTAATCTGGGCTGTTTCTGTTGATTTAATATTTTTAGTTGTTTTAGGTCTCTTTTATTTTTCTGCACTGTCCAAGTCCACTAGAGATGGAGAATCGATGAATTTAATTAAATCATAAATAATATATGTAGATCTGAACTGATGTCTATATACATATTTCAGGTGAATAGAATGCTGGTTATTTTTTATTCACTACTTTTTTCTTGTAATTTCACCATATGTCAGAGTAATATCTGAAAATATTTGAAAAAACAAATTAAAACTAAGATTTGTAATGATAAGTTACAAATACAGATGTAATAGCAATCCTGCTTAGGTTTATGATAAAGTCATTCAGCTGGTACATACCTCAGAAAAGGTGCTTAATTCAATTGCAGTTAAAATATTATTCATGAATGCTTGAATTTCTTTTAGAGTTTTGTTCTGTGTATTAAAAATAAATATATATGATACATTTTTATTTATACCGCCAAAGTAAGAAAAAAAGTTTGGTTTTTTTAAATGCTCAATGTTAGGACAAAGAAAGAGGCAGTGTTGAAACATACTTGATCTAGGGAAGCATAATAAATATATATTCACATTATTCTGAGACTGAAGAAATGTCACAGCTACTGTACATCAGCAAAACGTCTGTTATGTCCAGTATCAATTCAGAATGGGATTAAAAAAACCATAAAAATTGTACACATGATATAAAAATCTACTGATGAACCAAAACCTTGGGAAACATTTCATCCAATTTACCCCTTCCAATTTCCCTCATCCTTTCAAACCAGATAGTATAGAAGGAGACATGGCAACCTGCAGTTTTTATAATATTATGGGGGATAGTGCTGTCAGTCTGTATATGTCTTATATACTGTTGGATCTGCCAATGATACATGAAACATTCAATTGATGAATCTGCCATGGTACAACATGGTATTTTGTCATCAGAGAAAATTTCTGATAAATCTCATAGTGTCTCAATTATTAGACTGAGCATAAGATTTTACCTAAGCAGATTTCTTAAACGATTATTTTAAAAATCTAGGAAAGAGGTAATAAAAAGAAGAAAATACCAAAATTATTAACTTACTGATTTGAATTTTCCATAATGTGAAGGCTAAAACAGCCTTCCAACAACCAAAATGATGCACAGACATCACCAGATGATGTGCACAGAAATCAATTTCTTATGTAATACAGTATTTCATGTAAGATTAATATTTACCAATTAATAGAATTCCAAAGTGTGGTGGACAATAAGGGCACTATGTATGACAAGTTAGAAAATTGACAGAAATCCCTATTTTCTGTTTGTGAACAAGAGAGAGGCATTCCTTCTTGGAAATGTTGGCTGGTGAAATTAGTAATTGATAAAATGGATTATTTATGCACACTGCTAATGGCTATGCATGCTTATAAGCAGGATAAAGACAAATAGATATCACCACATTTCCATGAATTCTAGAAAGAGAGATAGGGATACTTATTTTATAAATATTTAGATATTATTTTTTATTGGAATGAAACTATTTATTGCAGTTTAGACCTCCAATTGTTTAGTAGGGAATTTTCATCATTCTCTGCAGGAGTTCTTAATCAGAGATAGCCAGCAAGGTGTAGAGTTGGATTAAGAAAAGTTTTTATTATGGAAAAAAAGAAATAGCACGGTTCAGGGAAAAGAGAAGGCATGTGAAAGAAATTCAGAATAACCTTCCTCTGATTCTATTTGATATAAGAAGAGATAGAGGGAAATGCTGGAAGGCTTTGAAAATTCTGTTATTACAACCTAAAACAATTAAATAGCTTTCCTATAATTCTTGCATTGCGTAACCCTGACCTAAGCTATCTTGAATGACTGACAGAATGAATATGATGTATGTCACCTTCAGCTTCTAAACAAAAGGCAGAATATAAATCTAATAATTAAATAAATCCAACATCAGATACTGAGGACATTCAAGGAATTGCAAAGAAAAATAAAATTGGCCCCTGAACATTTTACTGATATAAGCTCTTCCATTAATAGGAAGGAATAATTGGATATTTTCTGTTATTTTAATTTTCCTAAGTCGTGAATTAAATATTAGATCCCACCATTTATTTTTTAGACTGTACCAGGTAACTTAGCTTTTGGCGAAGTAAGATATTTTGCAAGTTCAGCCCATCCAATTCTTTTTGTAATAACAGCTTTTCATTTTCCAGCCGCCGAGAATTTTCTTTCTCTGTACAAAGGGCCATGGCCAGTGCCTTATTATTACTTTTCAAAGAATTTTTAAAAAGTGAAGAGTTGTCTGAATAAAATGAAAAGAAAAAATTAGGGCATGTTCATATTGCTACTACTACTGATCCATAAATCCTCAAAAGTAATTTGAGTAATAATGACATAACTATATTTTATTTTCTAAACTTACTATCCTGTCATATTGCTAGAGAGTAGAATACCAAAGTGGGAAATATTAAATAGTCGGACTTTACAGCCTAGGAAACCAAAATGAAGCCAGAGAATCACTTATCAATTTCTGCAATTAAATTACTTTTTCACTGCTCAAACAGCCTTCCAACAACCAAAATTATGCGTGGATTTCACCAGATGATGTGCATAGAAATCAAACTGACTGCAATATATTATTGGTAGAAGTAAATGGAAGAACCCAGTTATACTAGCAATGATATAGCCAGGGACGGACTGTGGAATAGATCTCAAACTACTCATATGAGTACAAGTCAAGTCAAGAACAGAGATCCCCAACCCCCAAGCCATGGACCAGTACAGGTCTGTGGCCTGTTAGGAACTGCAGGTACCTTGCAAGCGAAGCACCTCCCAGGTACCTTGCAAGCAAGAGAACTTCATCTGCGCATGCATGGGATCTAGGTTGCGTGCAACCCCCCCCCCCCGATACATGGAAAAATTGTCTTCCACAAAACCAGTCCCTGGTGCCAGAAAGGGTGGGGACTGCTGCCTTAGAAAGTATTCCCTATTTACAAGAATCTCTAGTATTAGAAGATGAAGTTAAGTCAATACTTTGGCCATTGCTAAGTCAGAAGGCTACAGATCTTGATGATGTATCTATAGAAATGTGGCTATTATAAAAAGAAGAATCTATAATGTTTCTAACAAAACTATGCCAACAAATCTGGAGACCCACACAGTAGCCAGCAAGTTAGAAGATATAGTCTATATATCGTTATCAAATAGAAGAGACTTAACATATAGTGCAGACAATTGCACAATATCCTTAATTTCACATACTAGCAAATAAGGTAACTGAATACAGATTAGAATTCTACATGCAAAGAGAAAGTCCACATATTCAAGCTGGCTTTAGAAAAGGATGCAGAATTACATATCTTACTGCTGATGTCAATAATGCCAAAAAGGAGTAAATATATGCTCCATTAATTATAGAAAATCCTCTGATTGTATAAATCATGTCAAACTATGATGTACTTAGGAACATGGAAATCCCAAAGCATCTCATTGTCCTAATGCAAAATACACGGTTCAGGAAGCAGTTTAGATGGAACATGGTGAAACAGACTGCTTGCAAATCAATAAAGGAATGAGACAAGGCTGTGCATTTATTTATTTTTTTCAACTTATATGATGAATATATATTGAGGGAAGTTAGATTGGAAGATGATGAGTGTGATTTAAGATGAGTGTGTAAGAAAAATCAATGACCTGTGTTATGCTGATGTCACTATTCTGATAGCTGAAAATGAGGATTATTTGAGACTTCTAATATTGAAAGAAACAGAGTACAATAACAAACTAATGACAAGTACAGCAACCAACCTTAGAACTGATGGTATGGACTAGAAGACCTCCAAGGTCCCTTCCAGCTCTATTCTGATTGAATTGATTGAAATGACTATGCTCACATTACCATATTTTGGACACATTTTATAAATATTTCACGCTCTGGAGAAGTCAGTAATATTGAGAAAAAGTGAAAAGAAAGGGAAAAATGGAAATCAGAAGCAAGATGGGTAGACCCAATTACAGTGGCAAAGGGAGCACTGATGGAAGACTTGAAGAGCAAAAAGTTATGGACAGATCTTGGAGAAAATCTATATGGTTGCTAACAGTCAACACCGACTTGATGGCACATAATCAGGACAATGTGATAGGTCCAACATTCTATTAGTTCTTTACCTTTTGTTGTTTTTATTTTATTTGGTAACTATATACAGGTATGCTGCAGAAATTTATTTTTGCAAGTATGAGTCTGATTACTTATAATTTAATTAGCACTTACTAATTATCTTGGTTTTGATTTTAAATGCAAGAAAAGCATTCAGCTTTGTAACTTTTAGAGGTCTATTCTTCTTCTCCATCACATGTTTTTTCATACCTCCAACGGTAAAAAGGGAAGATACTTCAGGCATTACATCAATTTCTATCTTTGGTTTACTTCTCTGAAGACTTAATAATGGATAACATGAAAAATATATATTAAAGTTTGCATTTAAAAATATTCTGAATTGTGTAGTATGAGTTAGGTAACAAATTCCTTGTATGTCTAATCACACTTGGCCATATAAAGTATTTTATTCTATTTATTTCTATTATTCAGCCTAAATATATTCTTGTTTCTAAATATAATGATATTTAGAATATGATAAGATCACTTTAACAATTCAGTCATCAAATTAAAATGCACAACTGTACTGAAAAAGTGATAGATTTTCTATTTTTAAAAAGATCATTATTTTCAAATCTCTCTATAGCTCAGAGCAGAAGTTCACAGAAATTATTTATGATGTTTACACGACATTTTTGTGTCCTTTCAGTTTAAATTTACATTGGCTTCAGGACATTCTGGCAAACTAGTATTCTCTCTTAATCACGTCATTAGCATTACCCGAACAATCGTTTCGTCTAAAATTTAAATTATTTTAAGCTAGTTCCTGAAAATAGTAGTTTTTCTTATTTAAGCCAACAAGATCCCAAGACACTGTTCACACATTGTACATGGTTATTAGCAGGTACGTTATACCAGCCATTTTAGTGAACAGACTTTGACCATTTTTTTTTACCTTGAAAATCCCAACAGAAGACTTCTTGTGCAGTGGTGGGATTCAAAAATGTGAACAAACAGTTCTCTGTGTGGATGCCGCTTCTGGAAGTCCATTCTAGGCCTGGGCAAAAAAAATTAGCTACCAGTTCCGCTGAACTGGCTGAATTCCACCATTGTTCTTGTGCCTATGCAAGTGGGATGGACCAATCCCAAAGGAACAAGACGGTGCCTCAGATAACTTGATCCCATGCCATGAAGGGCTTTAAGGGTGAAAACCAATACCGTATATGCCAGCGTATTAGGCGACCCGGCGTATAAAACGACCCCATCTTTATCGCCGAGCCGCATTCCTAGAACGTCGTCTTATGCGCCGGAAACTACCAGTATTTCCGGCGTATAAGACGACTCAGCGTATAAGACGACCCCTGTCTTTGGGGCCGAGTTTAGCACTTCCGGAAGTTGTCTTATACGCCGGCATATACGGTACCTTGAATTGGGTCTGGAAGCAAACTTGCAATCAAGGCAGCTTATGTAAGGGTAGTGCTATATGTACCAATTTAGGGGCCTCCAGAACTGTCTGTACCACTGCATTCTGTATCAGCTATAGCTTCCAATTACTCTTCAAGGGTAGCCCCATCTAGAGCATTGTAGTAATCCAATTGGGAGATGACTAGGGCATAAGTGACTGAGCACAGAGTTTCAAGATCCAGAGAAGAACGCAACTGGCAAATATATACAGGTAATCTTTGACTTACAAGAATTCGTTTAGTGACTTTTCAAAGTTACAACAGCACTGAAAAAAGACTTAGGACTGTTTTTCACTTATGACCATTGTAGCATCCCTGTGGTCATGTGATCAAAATTCAGATGCTTGGCAACTGACTCATATTCATGACATTTGCAGTGTCCGAGGATCATGTAATCCCCTTTTGCAATTTTTTGACAAGCAAAGTCAATGGGGGAGTCAGATTCACTTAACAATGGTGTTACTAACTTAACAACTGCAGTGAGTCACTTAACGTGGCAAGCAATGTAGTAAAATGAGGCAAAATTCATTTAACAATTGTCTCAGCAACGTAAATTTTGGGCTCAGTTGTGGTCATAAGTTGAGGACTACCTATACTCTTGTTATAGTCTACAAAGATATCTTCAGCATGTCAGGGTTGCTGAAGCATGCTGCAGCCCTTGTCATTTTCACTGTTCTTTGGCAGGTGGTGGGAGAGCAGCTGGCTTGCTACCTGCTGCATTCTGATTGGCAGAAGAACCATACTCTCTCTGGAGGGCATCTCAGAGGCTTTGTCTGCATTAACAAGGGCTCAGGTAATCCAAATTAAATTACACAGACTCTCTTCCCATCACTGCCACCGCTTGCAGCAGCTATGTGCTACTCATATGAGGATAGCAAATCTATAAGCATCTTCTCAAGTGCAATAAAAGGCTCCTATAGGGGCAGCCAAATATTACAATTTATTTTCCTTCCAACTTCAGGACAGGAGAAAAGCACAAGGATCTATGCAGTTAAGCTCTTATTCTGGTTTCATTAAGAAGGAACTAGCCTCTTCACTTACTTATCCTGTGTAGCACCATAACACAAACTTATTTCAGTGGTTATTATTTATGTCTTTTATTCAAGAGCTCAAGGCAAAGTACATAAAGCTCCTTCCTCCAGTTTTTCCCCACAAAAGTGACTGGAGTTTGAAAGGGAAATCTCTGCATTAGAGAGGAGTTTTGAGCTGCTCTGAATTGTCCATGCTTTCAGAGGACTCTTAGTTTCCTAGCTTAATGGCTTTTTTTTCTGAGAAAAAAAAATCTTGAAAAATTGCAAATGGGAGGCACACGTGCTTGGACTTATGAATGATAAAAGCCACTGCTGGAAACATTGTTATCATTTGCATTCTTCTTCCACATGAGAATTAATTTCTACTTCTGAACTTTAACATTCAGATCAGAATCTACCTGTGGAAGTTCCTCTTATTTATCAGAAACCACAAAGAATGGGGATCATCTAAACCTTCAAACCCAATCCTTATTCAAGCAAATGAAATAACTGCAATATGTGCAGTGGATAAATTATGTTTAATATTCTGAATTCTAGAAAAAAATATGCTGTGGGGTGCGCCTATGTGCACAAACCTCATCAGGGAGCAGTGGAAAAAACAACTTTCATGTTAAGAAGAGGAAGAAAGTCATTCCAACACTTGACGGAGAAAAAAAAGACCATAATAAGGTAGAATAATATAATGTGAAATAATAATAATAATGAAAAATCATTAAAATAATGATGTGTCTGCATAATTACTGGAATAAAGCTGTGTTAGCAATCTGTGACTAACCAAATGCGCATTGCACTTGGAAACAATGTATGTAGCAGATTCTCCATTGTATGCCCGTGAGAAATGAATCTAATACGTGAGAAATGAATCTGATGTATTACAATGTAGATTTCTATGTGTGCTCCTTTGTTCCTGAGAAAGGGAAAGTATAAAACTGTAGTTTAAACCCGCCCTCAGTGTTCAGAATTGCTTGTCTTCACTGCTTCTGAACCTTGCGCAATAAATCTCTCTGCTACACCCTCTGGAATTCGTAAAAGTCTCTTTCGTTTTCTACAAGAATAACATGTCATAATTTCTCACCCGGAACACTTCAATGAACTATGCTTGTGACATAACTCCGTCACTCTCCAATTTAAGAGAAAGGGATATGGCACTCAACCCCAGAACCGTTTAACTGCGGCCACGCAACAGCGCACGAGCGTTGCGGTGCCTCAGGCAGGCGTTGGCGTTCAGCGCTTGGACACTAGCGCGCAGACGGAATTTGGACCCCCTCTCGATTAGAAAGCATGGTGGGAGAGCGATCGGTGGGCAGCTGGGGCTCTAGGGAGACTCGCTTGGCTAGTTGTCTTCGTGACTGAGAGCCTTTTTGGCTTTCTAGCCGGCCCTATTCTTGCCCGCTTATCCTCCTCATGCTCGCTTAGCCGCGCGAGGAGCTTCAGGCAGCTTGGATAATTCGGAGCGAGATCCGTCGAGGGAGGAGCAGTTTTTTCAAAATGGTTTCTGTACGTCCTGTTTTGTTGTCCTGTTGCGTCCATAGGTTGTTGTTCCGGCGCTTTGCGTTTCTTTCTTTCTTTCTTTCTTTCTTTCTTTCTTTCTTTCTTTCTTTCTTTCTTTCTTTCTTTCTTTCTTTCTTTCTTTCTTTCTTTCTTTCTTTCTTTCTTTCTTTCTTTCTTTCTTTCTTTCTTTCTTTCTTTCTTTATTTCTTTCTTTCTTTCTTTCTTTCTTTCTTTATTTCTTTCTTTCTTTCTTTCTTTCTTTCTTTCTTTCTTTCTTTCTTTCTTTCTTTCTTTCTTTCTTTCTTTCTTTCTTTCTTTCTTTCTTTCTTTCTTTCTTTCTTTTCAAATCCAACCCGGGCCTGACTCCTCTTCCGCCTCCGTCCTTTCCGCCGGATTTGGAAATGGAAGCGGTAGAGGGTAGCGCGAAAGAAGGCGGGGTTTCGCGTGCCTCTTCCGAAATTTCTGGGCGGAACCTCGGACTAGGAAGGTAACGGACCGCAGCAGCGGAGTGTTTCCTGGGGCTTCCTCCTTGACCTCGCCTCCTTCTGATCCCTTTGTGCTCCCGGGTTCCTCTTTCTCCTCCTCCTCCTCCTCCTCCTCCAGCCGCTGCTATTTTCTGGCTGTAGAAGAAGGAAGGGACTGGTTTGGGTTTCCTTCCTCCCTCCTGCCGGATGCTGCGTGTTCTTCCCTGCCCTTGGAAACGTACATAAAAGAGGAAAAGGAGACAGCTTGACTGACTTAGCAGGGGAGCCTTCAAATAAGATTGCAAAAATCCAGCCAACCACCAGATGGCAGCTAAGAGGCAAAAAATTATAACTCCTTGCTGGCTTTCCGGAGCTGTCCGCATTTTTGTCTGATAGCTTTGTTCCTAGGGATAGCTGGATGTTCCTAGGGATAGCATATGTGATGGTGATACTTAGCAGGTTTCTAAGGAATCTTGGCTGCCGATCTATAAACTGTCTGGATTCTTCCCAATGTAGAAAAGCTGATGTCCTCCAACTGTTTAATACAACAGCTCTGTACTCTTTGACTATTGGACATGGTTAAGGTAAAGAATCCAGCTTGCCTGGCCAAAATCCATACTTCAAATTGTACAGCATGGTCGTTTGTCATTGTTTGTTCCAAATTCCCTCTTGGATTTTAGAACTTTAGAAGGGAGAGAAACGCTATCGCTGGATCTAGCAAAGAACTCTGCTGTTTAATTTGGACCTAATTTGTATCAGAAACATTAATGACATGGCAAAGCTCTCTAGGAGGCCTATCTCATTTGGACAATTTCATTGGACCTAGACATTCTTTTCCATTTCTAGTCCCCTCGTGTTTTCTCATGGCACAATATATTTGGAAGAAGAGGAATAGGAGCCCATATATTGAAGTACTCATGAAGATGTTTTGTTATTATTTGCTAAACAAGTTTATAAACCAGGCTGTTTTTATGGATAGCAGGCTATTATTCAATGTATTTGTCTAGAAAAGTCATAGAGCATGCACATTTATTTGATTCATAAATCACACTTGCACAGCAGCTCAAGGTGGTGTACAAAGTGCTGGCCTCTATTTCCCCCCCACAATGGCAATCCTACAAGGGCTCCCTAGCTTGTGTGATCTCTTCTGAAAGGAGGTCCTAATAAAAACATATGTAGCTCTTGGCATTTAGCATTTTGATGAAAACTATGCTATGGTTCACAATCTTACTATGCCTCTTTTATTCAGGTAAGCAAATATTCATGGCATTTCAGTCTGAAATTGTAGCTGCTCAGTATTTAGAATTGCACATTACTTCACAAGTTTCTCCCCAGAGCATATTGGATAAAGGAAGAAATGCCTGAGGAACATGGTCTGTCCTGACTCCAAATAGGTCTTTCCAAGTGTAGGAACATTACTTTCCTAACATACAGTAGTTCTATTAATGTAACTCAAGTTTCTTAGGATTAAAATTAAATAAGAATAGTTGGGTTTTCTGTTATGAATACAGTTTGCTTTCATTGTAGTGGTTGAGAAAAAGTTACCTAGGAATAAGGCATTACTAGTAGTGTGATTCCCCCCCCCCCCAGATGTGTTGGAACTACAATTCACAACATTCCAGCCACCATGACTGAAGAATGAGAATTATAGCAATTGAATCCCCAACAATTTTAAGAATGCTGTGTTAGAAGTGTGACCTGCATGTGCATTCTCATGATGGTATGCATCTTCAGCATTTAAGAGATTTCTACTAATTGTCCAAAGGATTGAAGTGAAACATCTGCACAAAATTTAAGTCATTTAACTATTATTTTTGAGTGATGGTGCTACTGAAATGCTAATTTTCTTACTTAATCTCCTAAATTCAGTTTTATATAAAATTTATTTCAGGTATCAAAATACATAATCTAATCAACAATATTAACTGCAGAAGTGATGGATGACAGCAAGTCTGAAAAGATGGTAGATATTATTCGACTTAATGTTGGAGGCTTTATGTACACAGCTAGATGTGAATCTTTATGCCGTTTTAAGGATTCAATGTTAGCAGCTATGTTCAGTGGAAGGTTTCCTTTAAAAATGGATAATTCAGGTAAAAAGCTTCTTAAATTGTAAATAGCCTTTGAAAAGGCGAACAAATGCATTTCAACATTTATCACAAGATAACTTGGTTGTGGGCTGTTTTGCATTATTTTTCCTGTGAGCTTGACTACCACCTCTTGATTTTTTCCATTTGCATCAGTTCATTCTTATGCCTTTATTCTGCAGATGTGCAGTCTGTACTATTTCATTCTATAGAGAAACAAATGTCCTGAGTTAAAGCCCAATGCACAGTTTGGGGGTGTGATTAGATATTGTCCCAGTATATTCTGAGTTCTGCAATAAGGTAATCCTGCTTGATTTGGCTTCTGTTAATCTAGTACAATGTGTTGAACTATGTCCAACTTGTCTAATAGAAATTAAACTTTAATTAAACTTTAATTACTCCCTTTTTTGTTAACACAGATTTACTGGACAATATAATATACTACAGTAATGGCAGTACAAAATGTAGTGTACATTTTTTGTTTCTGTTTCCAGGAGCATGCTTTATTGATCGTGATGGCAATCTTTTTAAATATCTCTTAAATTATCTTCATGGAGAAGTTTGGATTCCTGAAAATGAAGAAACACGAATTGCATTACAAGAAGAAGCTGATTACTTTGGCATTCCTTACCCTTACAGTCTTGTTGACCATCTAGCTAATGAAATGGAGACATATTGTTTAAAAACAAATGTAGAACTTAAGAAGGTCAGAATTTTCCTATGTTCTTTAATTGTTTTGCGATATGTACTCAGCATTTGATAAAGGACAAGTAATGCATATTTCTCAGCTGGAAAATAACTTTTACCCTTTTATTAGGGCTTATTCCACAAACTACTTTGTCTAGGATGGGCTGGCAGGGAACAAGTTAAAAAAAAAAGTTAGCCATATATAGAGATTATTACTGATAGAACTAAAGAAAATATCTGCAGTTGTAATACCAATCCTCACAATCCAATTATAACAGACACTTTTCATACACTTGTATGCATGTTTTTATGCATATATTAAAACACAGTCCATCACTAATAGTAAATACAATTCAGTAATCCATTTCAGTATTACTGTATTTTCTCTTAACACATTTCTAATAAAAATCTAATATTTTGTCTGCATATTTAGCAAATTACATTGACTACATAGAATAACTACTTAAAGTATCGTTAAGCTATTTTTAAGAGTAGAAACGGTAAGACTGCAGATATCTGTGTTTTTACCAGTGGCAAAATGCCATGAACTCAGTAGGATTACATTGACAGAAGTAGGCTGCAGATATTTTGGATACTTTTTAATAACTCAAATTATGTGAAATATATTAAATAGCCAGATTGTTTGATTGAATATATATGTTGGTATACTCCTTTTCTAGGCACTCGTAGGTTTTTGTGACTCTTATGGCTTAATATGCACTAAACCAACAGTTTGGGTCTTGCATTACCTCAATACTTCTGGTGCCAGCTGTGAGAGTAGAGTAATTGGAATATATGCCACAAAAGCTGATGGAACAACTGCAATTGAAAAGGAACTAGGAGGACGAATAAATAGTAAAAATATCTACAAAAGGTGAGAAGTTTCTCAGCTAGGTGACTATAAATTAACATAAGATTATAAATGAATTTATATAACTCATTATGCAATTTCTGTTTAGAGAAAAAATGGCAGATATTCTCCAGATGCTTTAGTTTTCAATACTAATTCCCTGCATTGTGAACAGTGTCATATCATCATGGGACTTGTTCCTCAACAATTACCAGGAAATTAAGTTCCTACTATTGTGGTCAACAATAGTGGCAGTTTTCTAAAAATAAGCAAATCTTTCCCAGTGTCATTCTTTTTGAAATTTGCTTATTTATACAAATTGGCTAAGATTGCAGTCTTATATCTAATCACAATGATGTAGTCCCGTTAAATGTAACACAACAGAAGTTACTTTTGGATAGAAGAATATACTGTATAATTATTACTTAAATTAACATGAAAGATTTAATATTAAGCACTCTTCAATTATGTTTCTATATTGGTGTGCTAACATCTGCTAGAAAATGCCTACATACTCAGTAAATCTTCTTTGGAATATTTGAGAACATCTGATACAGGTTTGAGGAATATATAGGAAAAGGAGATCAAGAGAAAGTCCAGTTATATAACTAGGTTTCTACTTCTGTAATGTCTGTGTAGTAAGTACTCTGTATCTTAACTGTTGTTAATAAAACTAAGCCTGGAATATTTAAACATATATTGCTCAGAAAATACAGTGGCTTAAACAGTAATTCACTCAAATGTAATTGTGTGATTTTGAGGTAGAACTAAATGTTAGTCTTGCTGTCTTTTCAGTTTGTTTGCATAAGGTATATCTATTTATCTGGATAGCTAGATGAAATTATTATATAAAAATAATTAAACAAGTAAGAATGCTACATTTAGTCCTACAAATTGTGTTATCAAAATTCAGCAATGAAGACAATGTAATCTAGTCCTGGTACTTGGATGAATAAAATAGTTCACTTAAACACTTGTTGTTAGTTGCGAAGTCGTGTCCAACCCATCGCAACCCCATGGACAACGTTCCTCTACCATCTTCTGGAGTCCATTTACGCTCACGCCTACTGCTTCAGTGACTCCATCCAGCCACCTCATTCTCTGTCGTCCCCTTCTTCTATTGCCCTCAATCTTTCCCAGCATTAGGCTCTTCTCCAGTGAGTCCTTCCTTCTCATTAGGTGGCCAAAGTACTTGAGTTTCAACTTCAGGATCTGGCCTTCTAAAGAGCAGTCAGGGTTGATCTCCTCTACGACTGACCAGTTTGATCACCTTGCAGTCCAGGGGACTCGCAGGAGTCTTCTCCAGCACCATAATTCAAAGGCCTCAATTCTTTGGCACTCAGCCTTTCTTATGGTCCAACTTTCACAGCCATACATTGCAACTGGGAAAACCATGGCCTTGACTATACATACTTTTGTTGGCAGGGTGATGTCTCTGCTTTTTAGTATGCTGTCTACATTTGCCATAGCTTTCAACCATAGTTTCTGGAATATACCACAATCTCTGGGTTCAGATATCATATGTTTCAACACAATATGGAGTCATCAATTGCAATGTATAAATTGTGCTTTATAGTCCATTATGATGTATGAGCTCAGCCATTATAACTTCTTTTTCATACCATAATGAAAATTAATGATGGTTTAATGTGAGAATCCAATTCAGGGACCAAATGAGATTAATCCTAATATCCTTCCATTTTCTGTTGTAGAATATTTTATGAATTGTTGCTACTTCTTTTGTTAAAGAGAAATTTCAACAATGTGGTTATCTTAAATGTTTAGGTCATAGGAATGAATGTTCAAATGGTTATGATTCTTCGGTATGAAAAAGTAACTTTAGCAAAGTTTTTTCTTTCATTTAGTAAAACAATTTGTTTTTTTTTTCTACTTTTTTTACTAGAGAGGCTGGAAACAACATCCAGTACATTTGGAGTTACTATTCAGTAACAGAATTGAAGAAGATAATGGATGCATTTGAGGCTTGGGAAGGAAGAGGTAAGTCTTTGTGTGTGTGTTTCTATATTTGAAGATGGCATTTTTAAAAAGAATATTAAGTATTTATGGTTGGGAATCGGCTGTTGAAGGTTAACCAGGGTATTTTTTCATTTATTTTTCATTCATTTTATTCATTCAGAATCATAAGAAAAAGAGAATAACTGGCTCTTAATGTAACAAAACCAGTATCTTGGGCACTATTATCACTTAGGCTCAAACAATCAACTAACTATTATTTCAGTATAGTAAAAATGTAATCAATTGTGAAATAGAAGAAATACCATTTCAAATATCATGTATTGAGTTCTTTATATCATGTATTGGCATGACAGTGTAATATTCATTTCTGCCAGAACAAATATTGTGAATTTTGAAAACATGCACATACTTGCCTAAAGGAGTCAGTTAAGTATAATAGCCATTATTCTGTTCTCTTTTTAGAAACATATTACTACTTCAGGCAATTGCCTGAAATTGAGAAAGAAATTTTAAAAAGTATAAATTAAATAACTGATAATAAGATAAAAAATATTATAAATTAAAAAAATAGGAGTTGCATCCTGCAACATCTCCCTCCCTCCACATACAATCAGAACTACTACAACAGATTGAAAATATTCCAAAATTGAGAGCCGTGTAGTAAAATCAGGGGTCCCCAACCTTCGGTCTTCAAATTGCTCCTGGTCTACAGCCTGTTGGGAACTGGATCGTGCAAGTGGCAAGTGAGCATGCAAAGCTCCATTAGTGCATGCTCGGGATTAGGTTGTATGGATGAAACCATCCCCTTTCCCGCTGTCGCCGCTTCCTGTTGGTCCACAGAACGAGAAAGGTTTGGGATCGCTGAGTAAAAATGAAGAAAAGGAAAAAGATTTCATGTTTTTATGTCAGCAACTTCGCTTACGTAATTCTGGATGTAGTTCAATTCTGTACATAGAAAAAGATATTCAAAATATTGCTCTTCAATTATGGGAACACAAAGAGAAACTGTTGTAATAAAGGTATGTTTCCAGTTGCATTAACATTCCTTATTGCATATCAGTGAATTTCAGGTAGAAATTACCAAATTTATGGATCTTGAATATTGTGAAATGATATGTTTGAAATTACAAGGTGCCAGCTACTGGCGAGTACCACAGGAGCTGATAGAGTGTTGGACTCTTGAGGAGCATTCTTTGAAAGGAAGCCTTCAGAATATGTCTCCAGTACGTAAACGGTAGGTATTGTGATTCCTTTGCCTGTTGTAGCCTTTAAGTGGAATAAAAGTTATATTTGCACTTGATTTTTTTGTATTCAGTATCTTCTGATAGAAGAATCGTGTGTTACCAAGTGATATGTAGTTAGTGTGTTAGAGAAGGATCAGTAAATCCTCCTGCATTGAATATGTTAAACAATACATTACAAAACACTGTTTTGAAAGTTTTTAGGAAGAAATGTTTTAGACTTTGTGTGAGGGCAGCTGTGCTTTCATTAAAATAGTGCAACTTTTTTCCGATCTTCATTCAAGCCTAAAATAAAGTGCTTTTGTTTTAAGAGTCACATAAAACTAATTAATTCAATTTGAATAGTCCATCTCAACAAGTGATTCTTGGCAGTGAATAATCTTAAATCAATCTTCAATGAAGGCATTTCTTAAAGCAGCAGTAATGTTTTTTCAGACTCATGTAAAAACTTCTTTAATGAGTAATGGAGAGATGCTACACTCAAGCTGCTTCTCCTTCTCCTCTCACAAAAATCCATATTATTCTCTTTGCTATAAAATGCAAGCCCATTTTGTAATATTCAATAATGAACATAAGAAAAATATACTTGGAAACATGCTGAAATTATATTTGGTATTAAATAAGAATGTATCTTTTCTATTGTTTGTGCCAAATACAGATGATTATCAGTATAAATATGTTGTCCTAATTCCTTATACATTGATGATTGAAATGTCTGATATATGTGTATGTGCCATTTTATGCAGATATCGGAGTAAAAATAATTTTTGCATATGCTGAATATTATACTTATCCTCTGTCTTTACTAGATTCAGTGGACAATGATTTTTTTTACAGACGAATAATTGATTCTCCTGGTGAGGAAGAAAGACAACTGAATAGCAGAACAGCTCGAAAGCCAGTTCAATTCTCTGGCCCCTCTACAAGTACCTGTATCAAAGTTAAGAACTCGGCTTCTTTAAAGATAGCAGCATCTTCACATCCCCAAACGGCTCTTAAGTGTCCTAGCAACAATACTTCTTTAATAAGCAAAAACATTTCGAGAACTCTTTATGCAAGGACTGTCCCATTGACTAAAAATTATCAGGCCTCTCTTAGAAACCCTGACCATGGGGGAGCTGGCCAAATGATCCCAAAGTCTCCCTCATCTAGAAAGTTTGCAACCGGTCGGGTGATAAAACTGAAGCGGACTCCACTCTGTAATGATTCAGTTGTGAAGAAAGTTAAACAGCAATTTCCATCTACTGCAATTGCCGCTACTTCTACAGGTCACTCAGACTGTGAGCATTCGGCCCTTTCCCTGAGGTGCAGTACTAACAGAAATGGTCTCCAGACTAGCTAGCTGAGTGGTATGTGTAAGACTGATCTCTTTAAGATCGTTATTTTTTAACAACAAAACCTTTTACCTCTTGAGAGGTAAAACAATCCCAGGTTCCACAGAAATATTCTAATAAAATCCTCTAAGATGGTGGATGGTAGTCAGTTGGTGTTCATTTTTGTAATGTACATTATAAATAATTACAAAGTATAATTAAATGTGGAACATTGGTTATTTTAGAATATTATTTATACTAGATTAGGTGTGTTTCAAGGCTTTTAATTTAATTTTAATTAAAAACTTGTGCAGTTTTTCTGAGTTTTTCCGAGCCTAATTAGCCTTCCATCCTTCCGAGATCGATAAAATGAGAACCCAGATTGTTAGTGGGAATATGCTGACTCTATAAACCGCTTAGAGAGGGTTGTAAAGCACTATGAAGTGGTATATAAGTCTAAGTGATATTGCTATAGAGAACAGTAATAGTAATGTGCAGTGCTTTTTTTGTAAAAACAAAAGGTGCCGGAACTCACACGTCATACAACCCGCCTTGGCTACCCTACAAGGTTCCATCCAAAAAAGATGCCGGAACTCCGTTCTGGGGGTTCTATGACAAAAAAAGCCCTGGTAATGTGAACAGATGGGCTGGTCAGGTTTGTATAGAACAGTGATTCTCAACCTTTTTAATGCCGCGACCCCCCAACCGGTCGTAAGTTGAGGACTACCCAACCGGTCGTAAGTCAAGGACTTTCCCTGCCCGGGAGCATCGTGCATGTGTGGTGCCGCCCCCTGTGCCGGCCGAGGTGTAGCTGGCAAGCGGCAGAGAAGGCGCAGGCCAACCACTGGCTGGGCCACCAACTGGCCTAGCCCAAGGGAGGTAAGGCACCCGCCGGCCTCCCACCTCCCACCCCTGGCCCTCTTTTACTTACATTTTTAGTAGTTGCTCAGCAGGGAGGGGTGGAAACTTCCAGACAGCTCACCTTCGCTGCAGACAACTTGCAGCACTGTTTGCAGAATGGGACTTTTGGTGGGCTCAGCAGGGCAGAGACAGCCTGGACAATTCCTATTGGCTTTTGAAAGCCAATAGAATTAGACTCTATTCAAGAGAGTCTATTCTATTGGCTTTCAAAAGGCAATAGAATAAAAGGGAGTAGCACAGCTAAGGAAAAGGGGAAAAAAATGGCAGACTGCGTTGTTTGGCGACCCCCATGAAATGGTCGTTCGACCCCAAATGGGGTCCTGACCCACACGTTGAGAACTGCTGGTATAGAATATGCAACAGTGTTCTTAGCATTCATTCAAAGGGACTTTTGAGAGATTTAGGCTTTCCTTAATCTTAATGGATGGCTTTCGTGTTCTCCTGGACCAAGGCAGGCCTATGTAAACGGAGGCACTTGACTATCAATAAATGAAACTTCCTAAAACGAAATATTTCTTTTAAGCTCAGAGATGTATGATTTGTATTTAATTTTGCTTTTGAAGACACTGAATGGGAGCAGTGTCTTCCTTTTGAAGACATTGCATAGAAGCTAGCTATAAAAATCCTAAAAAAAAACTAAATTCCCCAGCTTTGTCATTTTTGGCAGTGTGAGAAATGTGTTATCAACGAAAGAAAAGGTAGTATTATATAGTGGTTAAAATCTTTGACAAGGATTAGTGAGACTCCTTATGTTTAAGGAGACAGTATAACTAATGGGAAGAAAGATGAATTTGCCCCATTCCCCCCTCCCAGCAAAGATGGTCACAGTAATTGGATCAGAGAAATAGCCTGTTGCAATAGTATTAATGGGAATGTTAAGTTTGCCCTCTTGAACTCCCCAAATAAGTGTAGGAATAACTCCCCTCCCGAAGAAAAAAGAATCTCAGACTGAAACACATTCAATTTTTAATCCACAAAAATAATCAGTCATTAAAAAGAACTGAAAGGCTTGGAAAAACTGTTCTGTGTAAGCTATATAAATTTAAAAAGGAAAAAACATATTTTACAAATATTATAGCACGGAACAATTAATATATAGTTTTTCTACTCTTATGATTGATCTTGAATATTTTTCTGGATATGACATTAGGTCACAGAACTATGAGATTTGTTATGTACAATTGTTTAATTTTAATATGGGAAGAGTGAAAAATGTTACGTATTTACATAACAATCCAATTCTACAGATGCCAGTATTTTAGCTCTTTAATACTGAATGATTGAAAACAAACTGGGCTATAATAAACATTATCTGTAATGACATCCTCTTACAGTTTATTTTTCAATATCAGTCTAATAGATCTGTAAGTACTGCTGGCTAAAGCTGCATTCTTATGAAAAAATAATCTTGAGTATATTGAGCAAAGCTTTCCGTGTAGAAAACAAGATAAAGTTAAGACAATTTCAGCAAGTTTGGCTTACCACAATTGTGATATTTTTCTCAAGCTATTTTGTCAGTATTTATGGAGTACACAATAAGGGAGGGGAGAAGCACCTTTAGTGAAAAAACTAAGATGATTACTGTTATCATGCCACCAAAGTCACAGCTGGCACTGTGACTGAAAGGGCAGGTGTTTCTCCAGAAGTCTCTAATTTTGGAGGATATAAATTACAGGGAGAACCCCTTGCTATATTGCTGCACAAAGGACTGGCCTCTGGAGGGCCTGGAATAGAATGCTTTTGCTGTGTTTTTTCTGGGTATGCTCCCTTTTCTAGATTTTTTATGGGTGTTGGTTTCTCTTGAGTTTTTACCATGCCTCTGTTTTTCGGCTTAAAGCTGTGATGGTACTGCCGTCGGTATTCATGTCGGGAGTGACTCTTTGGGTTGCTCTGATCAGATTCATCACTAGGACTTTGGGGCTTGAGAGAACCATTGATTCGAATGCCATGGTAGTGCGCATGAAATCTTCGTCTTGGACCTGAAGGCACATTCTGTCCAGGAAGAAAAAAGAACACCAGGACTCATTTCAGTGAAAACCTGCATCCAGTTCAGTTTGATAAAAGTTGGACAGTATTATTATTATTATGTGTACCAAAGCCTATCTATTACAGTATATTACGCATGTCAGCATCATAGTCATTGAGGCTGTTCTAATGACCCCATCAACTTGCTGCCTCTACTGACTGGAAATATAAAATCATATCTTTCCCCAGTTCCTTTTTGGAGAAACTGAGGGCAGGTGGGGAGATAACAGAAAAATAAGCTAATAATTGGCAATTTGCTTGAATTGCTACTACTGTAATTACATTCCTCTGACACTAAGACAAAATGGCACTGGGCCTGGCTTAGCTCAACTACCATGTTTTGGAAAATGAAACATTTTCAGTGTTCAATATTTTTTAATCCACAAATGGGTGCAACACTGGTCCAGGAATGGGCGCAATTGGCACACAAGATAAATTTGTGCAAAGGACCCTTAGCTAATGGTTGCCACCTGCTCTTTTAATAGGAACCATTGTTTCCAAGAGAACCCCAAACTGATTAGTCATGAAGATAGATTTATAGCCATCATTGAATAAACCTGGACATAACACTTAGGCCTATTCCAAAACAAACTGTTTCTGGAACAATAGATTGTTTTGCAAAAGAATGAAGTAACACATCATCCATCCATCCATTCTTCTGGAGACATTTCATTTAGCTGGATTGAGTTGGTATAAGTGAAAGACAGAAGAGAGTTTATATATGATTATGATATTAAGCCACCATTGTGATCTTTTCAATTCATTTATCAATGCAGCTCATTTTGGACTGAAAAAGAGCATATATTCTACTCATGTTAATTTTTAAGAACATAGGAATTAGCTGAAAGGTGTCTTAAAGTCACATACATAAATCCAAAGGTGTTGCAGAATTTAGAATCTTTTAATAATACAGCATTTGAAAGAATTTCTGAATCTGGGAAGAAATTGACTCAGTAATCTCAACAATGTGTCTGTATAATGTTTCTCATACAGTTGTAAATTTTTAACTTTATAATGTTTATGTTGATTCACAAACAAAATCTTTTCCTTGACCTTTACCTGTTTATTTGTTGAAGTTACATGAGAAGAGGATTCTGTAACTGGGAGAACTTGGCTGGAACCTTTAGTTGTTGCTGTTTTGTGATCAGAAGTCTTGGCAGAGGTCTGATTAGAATATTTTTGGCTATATGTATTTTGCGTGCTGGCCATTGATTTTGAAATTTCTGACTGAAGGAACATACTGGATGGTGTTCTTGAGGAGTAATTGTTTTTTGGATGGAAAACTACAAAGAAAAATGCAAATTTTATCATATAATATATTGAGATGAATTCCAGAAAAATTAAACAAAAGGCAGTGTATACATTATATTTACTAGCTATGAAAATAGTTCTAACAAGTGTTTTAAAGAGCAATTAATGAAGAAGCTGAGACTTTACTACAACTTACTTTCTCCACAGTGTAATATCTGTGTTTTTAACTGTTCAGTGTCACAGGAAAAGCGGGCAGCTCTACCCAATTCTTCATCGTATTTACGTTCACTTACAAAGTGCTACAATGAAGGGAAAAGTAACTGTTATAAATAGCCTCACATGTTTAAATAATTAGAAGATCACACTGAAGTCTAACTTGTTGAACAAAAGCTTTTTAAGGAGATAAGTGTTCCAATCTTAGAAAGTTTGGATATTTTTTATATTTTGTAAAATGCTATTGTAAAATCTGATTCAGAATCAGTAATACAATACCCTATCCTCACATTTGATGGAAGGAGTATTTGTCACTGGAAAAAATAACTACAATTATACAAGGGAATTAAAGCACAAGGCTCAAAAGAAAATAAAAAGAATTCTGCAATTTTAATACAACTGGAAATAAAAGCAGGAATATTACTATGCTTATATGAATCTGAATACTGTATTACTTTTCAAAAATCTTACTACAAAATACAAGGGAGATAGCACAGTTAAGTAAGATGACATTATAAAAAAACTAGATTTATATTTTGCTTGAGCCCTTGTGAGAACCCATGGTTCTAAATGCTGAAATAGAGATACATGACTTGTATATAGCTATGCTTATTTTTAAGAGAAATATCCTTTTAATGATGACCTTAATTTCAGCTCGCAATTCAGCCAGCTGAATCTCAGCCATCTGACTTGCCAAATCTGTTAGTCTCTTCAATTCTTCAGCTTTTTTCTGACGCGCAGTCAAAAT